TAAATTTTCTTTTGCCAGCGGTTCTCATCCATCCGCATTAAGTGGCCATACCACTTTAACCGTTTGGTCCCGATCAGGTGAAGGATGTTCTTTTGACATCCGACCTTTTCTCTAATTGCTGCGTTTATATAGAAGTTAAAAACCTATATATAGAAGTTAAAAAATACAAAATTTTCTCACGTTTTTCACAATGAATTTCCTGTTTCGATCTTCAAATTACTGTCTTAATATTCTTTAAATCAGCCGCCATTTTTTAAAGCAGCGTCTCTGGAATGGCATACAAGTTTCTCTTTACTCAGAACCTCATACACTTTCGTAATTTAAAATCAAACCTTCGTCTGTGATAAGGTCGATTTTTGTGGGGCCCTGGCAATAGGAGACCATTGGAACGAATTCTGGAATGTGTATCCAATATTTTTCGATGTAGAATAACCAAAAAATATTTGGTTGTAATCGGTGACCCTCTGACTACTCTCCCATTGTTAATTATAAAAATATTTAAATTAAATTAAATAAAAACTATTTAAATTAAATTAAATAAAAACTATTTAAATGCAATTTAAAAACTACCTTAAATCAAAATAGGAAATTACATCAAATTGTTGTCGTTTCTCACATTAACCATGGCCATTTCTCTCAGCTCCTATGGTCAGAGACACAATAGTTACACACAGTGTTACCGCGCGCTCTGTGACAAATCCTCGTACTACTGTAGGCTCAATGTTGTTATTTTTTTTTTTTTTTTAATAATATGATCAAATCAAAATTATTTATTGAGTATTATAACAATCTGTCTGTTGGACATTGGTTATAGTGAGGTAGGATGACATTCACGCCATATGTACAAAAAAATAAAATAAATAGAACAAAATAATAATCAAAAGTATATACAATAGACAATAAAATAAAATAACCTAAAAAATAAGAAAATTAAAACTAAGGAAAAAAAAAAAATAAAATAACATGCATACCTATATACAATCAGGCGAGGGAACTCCAGGAGAACCCTGCGCTACTCTCCCAACCGCGTCACTGGTACTAAAGCCAGCGGAGATTGGTCGAGAGCACTTTAGCCACATACAATCATGTCTTGAGTGAAGAATCTGGCCATTGCCAGAACTCCAATTTATATAATCTACAAAAGGTCGCGAGGGTTTTTTTTTTTTTTAAAGTAAATTTAAATGAGAGCTTTACTTATTAACTCTATTTGTTTATTTTAAAACATTTTTTATAAGTTTTTTGATTAAGTTAATGGGTCAAGAAGTAAAATGAATTTTATTTAATTCACAGAATTAAATATATAAAAAATTGCATACATTTTTAGAAACTATTGGAAAACTTTCTATAAAAATTAAAATAGTAAAATAAACGTTTTAAAGGATACAATATCCCTATCATTATTAAAAATTAATAGAAAACACATTATTATGACTTCATCTATTATGACATACAATAAATATTAGAACTATTTTGTTTACTTAGAACTATTTAAACTAATTCTGTAAAATTATAATTTTATGAAGAAAATAATGGATATATTTTATTTTATACTCGATAAAAATCGAAAATATATTTTTTTTTAAATTAAGGTTTTTTTTTACATTTTGTTTTCTAGAGAATTAAATCATGGTTTTATGAAGAAAATAATAATCATACTCTAATCAAAGAAGATATAATTGCAATTTATTTGTCTATAAAGCAACAGAAGTTCAGTATTTCATATACTTTTTTTATTAGGAGTTTCCCTTAATAGTGGGTTTCTTTAAGGTAAAGTGCTTAGATGGCTTCTTTCCATAATATCCTATCTAATGTCCATTCTTCACGTAGACCATGACCCATCATGGATTCCTCCAGTTCGTTATCCCAGGTCTTCCTCGTCTTCTTCTTTCCCTAATTTATCTTCTTCTAATTCTTCTATTAAGGCTTCTTTGGGTAGTCTTCCTTCAGGCATTCTTTTCAAATATCCATACCACTTCAGGCGTTTTTCCTCAATATCTTCCAGAATGGTTCTTTTAGCCTCCAGCTTTTCTCTGATGGTCGTATTTCTCACTTTATCCATTTTGGATATTGCCGTCACTCGTCTCCAGTAATCCATTTCGGTGGCTAGAAGTTTCTTCCTGAGGTTATTTTTTATGGTTCAAGCTTCTCATCCATTTATATTAGTATTTCATACGAATATAAATAATAATACAGTAAAAATAATTGTAAACTTCATTCATAAAAATATAACTATGCATACGTCAGCAAAAATTATGTACAAGATACGAGACTGCTCGGTCCTCGTATCTCGTAAATTACGTCATAATCTACAAATACGAGGATCATCGTACAAACAGCAACACTGTTCCATATTCCTAGAACAAGCCAGTGCCTTAATATTAATATTAAAATATTTCGAAAATTAAAAAAGAAATTAATCGATTTGAAATAGAAATATCTAAATCGTATAAATTATAAACGTGTAATTGCCTTTGGTAACCTACATATTTATTAAATATATGCGTATATATGATTATATGCTAATAGCTCATCGAGATATAATCGATTCGAGGTGTATATTATTATCGAGAAGGCCATGTTTAAACATGTCTCGAGCGGCCTTTAAAAATATATCAGCTGGCCTTGACCCACACAATGCGACTATTTAAGTCTTATCAGCTGTTCTTCATTCACTCCCTCGTCTCTTCTTTCATTATATAATATTCATTCATTCTTATTGATTTGAATGAATTTTATGAAGTATTAATAATTATAATAGTTTATATTTCACTGTCATACCAAATGTATAATTTTTTTTTCATTGTTTTAAAATTAAGTATCGAGATTAAACTGTAAATAACGATGCCATTTTCATGATTTTTATATTCATTAAGAAAATAATTTCTTTTTAAATATATGTTAAAACAAATAATGACCTTGTTTTGAAGCCCTTAGTTCATTTATTCTGAAACACCCATAACAAACAAAAAAAAAAAAGAAGGCCTTTTTATTTATTATAAATAATATTCCTTGAAGGTCTCTAATTAATTTTTTTATTTAATTTATTTTTTCTTTCGTAAATATAATAAGATTTTTTATGCTTCCACTTGCCAATAGTAATGCCTTATAGTATGGAAAGTATTGCGATCGTAAAAATTTCCAAAGCTGAATTTTCAACGGAAATACACATTTTGGTTCCCTGTGGTCTAATAAACTGGATTTTGAGTGTGTATGTAAACAGTCTAGCTCAAAAACGAAAAATCTCACGAAATTTAAATTATATATTAAAGGTAGATATATAACTGGAATGTTATAGCAATTTTCCTCTTAAATCGGCTAAATGGCAGTTCTACTTTATATCATCGATATTATTATAATTTTTTTTTTTGTGTTTTTATTACTCTTTTTATTTTTATTTTTTTTATTTTTTTTTAACGCTATAGAAGAACACATGTTCGACCGCCATTTTGGAACGAACGGCTAATGCCATTGTTAAATTCCTAGGACCATCCTCGTATGACTTCTTGGTTCGCTACCAAATTTCAAAGCGATTTTTTCTTGATCGATTACGAAGCTTACATTTTTCAATAAAGAAAATATTTTAAAAAGTTATTAAAATGAGAATTTCGGAAATATTAAAGCTTCAGTAAATAGATACATTTCGTACTCCACTAATTTATTTTAACTTCTTAGACTATGGATCTCTCTCTACTGCTTTAAAAAATGGCGGCTGATCTAAAGAATATTAGGCCAATAATTTGAGGATCGAAACGGGAAATCCATTCCGAAAAATGTGAGAAAAGTTTTTATTTTTTTAACTCGTATATATGGATTTAGACATGTAAAAAACAAAATTGCTAACGCGGGCCACCAAGAGAAAAGTTTTTACAGCTAAAAAAGTCAGATTTTTTCAATAGTTTTTTTTTTCATCTATAACTCCTAAATGATGCATCAAAGCGAAAAATGTATTCTATAATAAATTAAATAACGTTAAATTATGCGTCGAACGAGTACATAAAATTAATAATTTGGTTACGCGGTAAGGCTTAAAACCACGGTCGACCAACACTGATTTTTACCAAATATTCCAAAAACTGACACAAATTACTATAAATGGCCCTGGAACTTGGAAATGAGCTCCCTAAGAGGAAAAACCCATAGTATCAAAGTTGTAGAGCATCAAATTTTGTATTAACTGAGTACTGACTAATTTAATATAATGTAACAAAATCGGTAATCTCCCGATGGTTAAAAATTGGTAATGAAGGTAAACGTGATTTTCAATATTTCAACAGTATGGCTGTCTATTCTACTGAGTTATTTATGTTTAAAGTCTGTTACATGCAGTATAAACCTCTTCTCCACTTCTCATACATGACATGCACTTTCGTAATTTACAATCAAACGCCTGCGATCAGGTGGATTTTTGAAACTTCGCTCCAGAGCTATCTTGAGGAATTCCAGATTTTCAATTTAAAAATAATTTAGCATACCATATAATTTATTTATATATAACTGTTAGAATTAATATATCACTGTGTAGTTGCAGCAGTTTCATTATTTATTCTCGTAGTACATGGCAGATTATATATTATAGATATTATTATATTATCCATCAAGATACCTCGCCTCACTGAGATACCGTAATCGTCTGCGACAATATTTTTTTATATTATTTATATAAAGGCGTCAGCCAATAGGATTATTATCGCCTCGCTTCTATGGTTAATATTCTAAATTTTGGAATAATTTTTTGTCTGGAACTCAAAAAATGTATTGATCATCCGAGCATTGTCAATCAAAATTGAACAAATATTGTTAGTTATATCGAAGAGAGCTATGTCTGCGACCTTTAAATTGCCACCAAGGTCTGCCGTAGACCCGCCAAAACCGGATACTCAGCTGAATTCGCCCGCGTAATGCGTCTCCCCGTCACCTGTTATATTCGCTCTTGTAACCAGTTACAGATAAGAGTGACAAAAGGTAACGGTTATCCGTTCCCCTCCACGATCCTCCGTCAGTCGTGCTCGCGCTGCCGAAGCAGATCGCATGCTGCTCCATTCCATCTACTTCTGCCACTATGTAGTGTCCGGGGCGATCGGCCAGGTACAGTCCCTCCTGGAACTAAAGGTGAGTAGCCATAACGAACGAAGGAAAAAAAAAAACTACTATAATCCTATATATTATTTCTAAAAGGTTTTTTTTTTTTGTCGGTACGCCACAACTTCGTCAATTGAAGATATTCTTCTCCTTCATATGCGAAAAATAGTCCTTTCCCCCGAAATTTCTGAGAAAAAAAGGTTAGGAAGGAAAAGAAACTTTATTTGCGAATAACTCAAAAAGTATGCATTTTTTTCTTAATTGAACCTATAATAATTAGAAAGATTACTAAATTACCTACAAAACAAAACAAAAAAAATCATAAAAATTATTTAGAAATATGTATAAGTTAAACTATTTGTGTGAGTATGCTGTCTGAACACTATTATAAATGTCCTTGATTGTGACAGAATTTAATATTTCTTAATAAACAAATAATTAAAAAAAAAAAAAAAGCAATTTGTATTGACGGAAGGAGTACTGTGTTTTGAAATATTTTTTTAAATAGAGATAGAGTTGAGATTTGTATTTCGCAGCTTCGAAAGACTCTCAAATTCGAATTTTCATTGCGATCGAAAAATAAAGATTGTTTCTACAAATTTTACCTAATGCACTACAGAGAGCACTAGTGGATCCAGGATTTAATTTTGGGGGGGGCTTTAGCCCGAAAGATTTTTTTTTTCAAATATATATAATAATAATTAATTTGAAAAAAAAAGAAAAAAATTAACTACCCATATGAAATAGTGTTTAAGTGATTCTTGAAGTCCTATTAAATGTAATTACACGAATAAGAATACTTTAAGAGATAATTTTTATATTTTTTTAATGTAAAACATGGATATATTTTACCGATATTTGGGGGAGGGGGGCTTCAGCCCGAAAGCCCTCCCCTCCCCGTAGATCCGCCTGTGATAGAGAATAAATAAAAACTGCTAACAGGTTTTTATTTTATAACTAGAGTTCTAAATTATTAAGGAAGCCACAGTTTGATTTATTTGGGAAAATCACAAAAAGTGTGATAATTGGAATAATCTTTGCCTATTCACACAAAATTTTGCAGGTATATTGGGCCTTATAAATACACGAAATGACACAAACTGTACCTTTTCAAATAATTTAGAACTGAAGTTATAAAAATATGTATATAATCATAAATGATAAAACCTGTTAGGAGTTTTTATTTATTTACTCTCTATAGACGTGTTAAATAAAAAATTTATTTATACGGTCTTGAAGAGCGATAATTCAGCTTTCCAACGGTTGTAGAAACATTGAATTAGGATAAAATCCTGAGGAGTTATGAATGTTTTAGTTAACACTAGGCAAAAACATCATAATGAAAAGTGAAGTCGTTGCCATGACCACTATCTCAGCACAGCTCTTCTATCCTATATATTATTTCTAAAAGGTGTTTTTTTTTGTCAGTACGCCATAACTTCGTCAATTCTTCATCAAAGCCAATGATTGACCACTCGTTTTGAAGATATTCTTCTCCTTCACATGCGAAAAATAGCCCTATCCCCCCCCCCAAATTTCTGAAAAAAAAAGTTACAAAGGAAAAGAAACTTTATTTGCGAATAACTCAAAAAGTATTCATTTTTTTTCTCGATTAGACCCATGATAATTAGAAAGATTACTAAATTACCTACAAAACAAAGTCGTAAAAATCGGACAATTATTAACAGAGATACAGTCCAGTAGTTTTGGTATTCTTAATAATGTCTTCCTCTTTAAAGGTATTTCATTTAGGAGTAGAATAGTCTACTACACTTTTATTTTCTAGCTGATATATTAACTTTATTATTTCTTAAAGGTATTTTTTTGTTCTTACATTTTTTTCTTAATAATTTAGAAAATCCCATGATAGGGGCATTATTTTGTCTTTATTACTTTTATTATTTTTACAGTCAGTGTTTGAAAATATGTCCTAGCAAAGCAATTTGTAAAAATATTTTGGTCTATTATGTCAAATGGAATATTTTAATCGACCAAGGAAAAGATATTAATTCCTTCCTTACATAATACATATGATCTACTTATTTCCATATTGTTTTGCTATTTCTTCACTAAACAAAATTTTCTGCGAATTATTCGCATGGTCCAACAAGTTTTCATATATTAGTTCTCAGAGGTGTTTTTTTGTCGCTGCACCACATATCTTCATCAATTCTCAAATTTAACGTTCCCCTCGCTTACAGTATGCAGGTTCCATTTTTAGCTTGTGATATATTTTAATCCATATATTCCATTACATTTGTTTTGTCATTTGGTTTTCACCACTCTAACACGGCTCACAGTTGTTGGAAAGTGCAAAAACATCAAAAAACTTTCAATTTAAGCAAGATATTTGAAAAACCGAATTCATTATAGCATGTCGGATATTCTGAATTATATAAATAAAACTTTTTTAATAAGACCAACCGTTATTATTATTTTTAATTTTTTCAATTATAAATAAAATATATTTTGCATATGTTGTAAAAAGTGATAATTTATTGTATAAGGTTATTGACAGAATCAATTATAAATCTCTATTACCTATATTATTATGAAGAGAACATAGTGGTAAGAGAAAAAGACCAAATCAACCTACAACTAAATGAATTGAAAACCAAATACATCATAGTGAGCTAAAAAAGATACCTCAGTATCAATTATGAGTCGCGACATTGTTTGAATTTTTCTTCGCATTTTCGTTCAATTTTTTTTTCTATACTTTTTCTCCAGTTTTCCATAACGGAAAGAGGTAAATTATATTTGGTATAAATTTCTTTAGATACAGGTAGGAATTTTTTCTTGCGCGTTTTTTGTATAAATTTCTTGACTGAATTTAATTAAGATAATTACCAAAATCTCAACTTATCGCTTTTATTAGAATTTTATTTTAAAAGTTGTTTAGAAGAAATATTGTAACTGCTGAAAATCTTACGCGATTCGAATCATAAATTATGAAATAAAGTATCTTATTTTATTTAATTCCAACTATTGCAAAATCAGTTGTATATTGGGTGATAAATTTAACGTATTATTTAAAATTGAGGAAAACGAATCATAAAACAATGATATTGAATGAATTGTTTTAAAATATGCTTATAATGAAAAGCACTTAATTTTAAATGTTTTTTATCTATTATCATTCACTCAAAACATCAAATTACTGCAATCATTTCATCATTCATTTATTTCAACTACCTCTCAAGTGTTCCAATTAGTAATATTTAGGGCAAATATTTGTTTTATCAAATTATATATACGTTTTAACAGAAAATAATTTGTTGGTATTTTTTTACGTATATGTTATACTTTCATTGTTTACTACCATACGTTAGTTTTCATTTTTTGGTTTATTTACTTGTTTTCATTTCTTTTAATAATTTTTTTTTCATTATTGTCTTGTCTTTAATTAGTCCTGTTGATGGGCTTAATTCTAGGCTGAAACGTCTTCACAAAATAATATTTTTTAAAACGTTTTTATATATTTCTTCTTACTTTGACAGCAACTCCTAACTAATTTGCCAACCATATTATCTGCCTATTTCTTCACGATTATGTATTAAATGTAATGTAGTATTTTTTTTACAATAAAGTTTATCTTTAAAATAGTAAACTATTCCACTTATTACTTTCCTACCTATACTAGGTAAGGAAAGTATTGCGATCAGGTCAAATTTCCGATATGCGGTTTTCGACGGATCTATACGTTTCAGAGCCTCTTGAGTCCGAAAAACACATTTTTAGCCATTGGTCTGTCTGTCTGTGCCAAAATTTTTCGGGAACTACTGGACCGATTTTGTTGCTCCTTTTTTTATTTTGTAGGGATTTGATTACTAATGCGTGTGACACATACTAGGTGCTCCATGCGCATTAGTTGCTGCGCAATAAATGAAAAACATATTTATAACATAGACTGTAGCTCTAAAACGTCTCTAACGATTTTGATAAAACTTGCTTGGAGGCTAACTCGGTAAGTATATATTCTATGATAAAATTTATAATGAAACTTTTGAATGGTAATTAAATTACCAACGAAACAAAAAAAAAAAAAAATCATCGGAATCGAACCAGTATTAGCGATGATACAGCATATTTTATTTTGTATTTTAATATATTACTTTCCTACCTATATTAGGTAAGAAAAGTATTGCGATCGGGTCCAATTTTCCGATTTACGTTTTTCGCTACAAAACTATATAAAAATTGTTTATTTCGGACAACTATTAACGAAGTTACAGCTATTCAATTTCCAATGTAAGATTACGGGTACATATCCTGATGTCATAAAGGGAAGAATGAGAGAAAAAAGATAACTAAGTGAAAGTAAGAAAATCTGTTGCCCACATCACACAAGCTTCACTATTACCTCTAATTTTAACAGAAATTATTGTTTGACAAAATTAAGCTATGGTAAAAAGTTGTTGATCAACAATATTAGAGGGTATTGAAATGCTTACACTGATCTACGTTAAGCCGGTTTGCATTGCTTTAGTTTATCTAATAAATCGTTTTCAAATCTTTTCCTTGATCTCAGAAAAATAAATCTAATTAAATTTTTTTTTTTTTGTTTCTGCATGAACATTTGTAAAGATATAAAAACTTTTCTGAAACAGGTAGGAAAGTCGTGTGAGTGGACACACCAGATATTTTTTTCTTCCTGTTAATAAAAAGGAGCTGAAATCGTTTTTTTTTTATAACTAGTCAATTAAACCTAATTTGAAATTACCTTTTAGATTACTAAACTATTTAATTTTTAGTTAAATTTTTTTTTTTTTTTTTTTTTTTTTTAATCAATTTGGATTAACCGGATGTCTAAACATGCAGGATTCGGATTAGTGGTACTCTAGTGTGGATTATATTTGACATACAATGTTGTAACATTTCACTAAGAGAAAGAAACCAATGCAATTGTATTTAATACGGTACGTTATATAATTTGTTAGTTGTTAACAATATTTAATGTAACATATTAAAGCCGTGAATTCCTAGATAACTGTTCCTGGAAACTGTGATGAAATGTATCCATAGTTGTG